CCTAAAAATTGGATTTTCGGATTCTATTATTTAATATTATTTATCACAAAATTAATTTAAATAAATAATAGATCTCGCCAAAATCAAATGCATTAAATATATTAAAAGCGTTTACAACCTAAATCGATTGGATCTAGGGCATAACACTTACACCAACAATTCCAAAAGATTTAGCTCATGGGAAAGCAAAGATGCCAAGATTGCTTCCTGGTTACTAAATTCTATTGAACCAGACATGGTAAATAACCTCAGTTCATACACCATTTCCAAAGAGATGTAGGATTACCTCGGTGCGTGTTTACCATCAAGACAACTTCGCCTAGAAGTTTCAATTGTACACATAATAAGTTGTTCGTATACAATTTTAACTCCAACTACAAGATAATTAAGTAGTCAGTCTCAAGCCCCCAAAATGAGGATGGTTTTAAAATTTTGAAAAAAATGGAGGAGGAAGGGCTCGTGGGTGAGCTTGGCTAGTGCTCAGGCGATCCGAGCTCGTGTTGCCGAGGTCGAGCTGACTTAATTCGGCCATTGCCATCCTTAAGAGCAAGCAAATTAATGATATAAAGGATGGATAACTTCATTTTGTTATCTTCTTTAGTTTTTCTTTAACCTTTATCTGTTTCAAGTTGAAGTTTAAATAATCGAAGATTTTTAGATTCTAGGCTATGTGATCATGCATGAAATGTATTTTTTTACTATATTGATGCTGATTGTCGATTAATACGACGTAACGGTTGAAATTCTTTTATGTGAGAGAAAAGAATATGCTTCCAAGCAAAAGAAGAATTTCACCTCCAACCTTCTTGGTCAGAATCAGTTTCACAATCTTCCATTAATTAGCATTAATAGCTTTCAATCATGAAATCTATCAGTAGTTCTATTAAAGTAGTGTAAATAGACAAATTTCCCCATAACAATAAATAAACAAAAACAAAACATATGCAAAAAAAAAAAAAAGACAAAAAGATAAAGGGGAAAAACTAGAGAATAGAAAAGAAATTTGAAAATTGAACTTCTTCATTGACCTAACTAATTCTCCATCCTCCAACTGCAAGCCCCAAAACCACAATAACCATTTTGAGACCCAAATGATCATTAAAATTCCTAAAGTGTACAATATCGTAGCCAAATAATAAAGAGTTATAAAATATTGTTCCCTCGAGTGCTAAGTATTTAATCTAGTTTTCAATTAACACCAACTTTAGCTGAGTAGAAATTTTAGTTGATTGATGAGATTCATATTAACTAATTAAAACTACAACTACTCTAACTAATTGAGGTAGATGTGTTTACAAAACTCAACACAGATACTTGGATGTAGAGTACTCCTATATTAATCCATTTTAAATCAATTTTAGATTAAAATACATGTTCATATATGAAAATCATTTTCCTCGTTCATTTGATAACTTCTATTGAATAGAACAAAACATATCCTCAGATATAACCCTTTTATATGTCTATGAAAGATATGAACATGTAATGATGCATTAAATTACAGTAACATAAAAAATGACCATGCAAAGCATATTGATATTTCTCTCTCTTATTGAACTTTACAATGATTTTTACTCCATGTCATATTCCTATTCACTCTCTCTAATGTCAATAAAAATCACTAGATAATTCAACTAGTAGTCAATTAATTGAAGAACATTAAGTTTCTAACAATCATTCAATGACCAAACACGTATTTAATATCAAAAGTCAGAATTAAATATCAAAACTTCAAAAGTAGGATTCAATATATTCTATCATTTATACAATTAGCAAAGCATCAAATTAATTACAAAACACAAAATAATTGATACAACATCACTTGAAATTAAAATTTGAAAAGAAGATGGAAAGAAATCTTCAAAGCATTAAATCTCTTTAATGACTCCTTGATCAATCTCCTTTGATTCTTCTTCAACCCAAGAAATTGTTGAATGAAAGTAGGTTAGATGTCTTTTGTTAGAAATATCTATAAAGGTTTGAAAGAATATATAGGTTTTTAGATCAAAAGCTTCCTTTCTGGCTCTTCTCTTTGCAAAAATTATGAAATGTGTAACCATACAGCCTCATTTAATTTGAATGATTTGTGTATATTTAATCCCCACGAGCATTTCAAAAAGCATAAAGCGTGGTTAAACGTGAATGCTAAATTTCAAGTTTTACGAGTCTAGGTGTAAAAAAACGTTTTCTTATTTTTAATATTATCTTAAAATTTTAATCATTTAATAATTAAATAATGTATACCATGCGTCAAAATTTATAAAATATTATATTTACTTAATAATTCCTACAATTAGTCAATTATACAATTTACAGTTTTCAAAATGCAAAAATTAGACTATTTTTCAAAGTTTCAACTTTCAACTAGACAATTTTTATTTAAAAATTTCTAATGTGTTTTTATTTTTGATTTTTGTATAGATAAATCATTAAAAACCTTGAAACTAAAGTCAAATAAAAAGGCTTTTAAAAAAAAATTTAATAAAGCGCCACTAGGCGAACATTACTAATGCATGGTGTTTTCACTCGAGCCTGGACGAGGTAATTCTTTAACATTGCAACACATAAAAAATTGCCCCAATCCATTCTCGTCTTGGATCTTTTCTCTTTGTTTGGCTGAGTGTTTTTTATGTGCAATTTAGATCCTTCCATCTTTAAATCTTCATAATTAAGTTATCATAATCCCAAAATCATTAATACTTGATCCAATGCAAGTTCTATAAGTGATGATTGAGTTTCACTTATCATTTTTAATGCCACTTAACTTGGTATTTTGGTTTTCTTCGAACAATTTAGAAAGTTTTGATGTCTGGGTTCGTGTTGTTTTACCAATTATGTAACATGGTGAAAACGAGGAGTTTGAAGCATGATAAGTGTGAATGGACTAGAAGAGACTTGAAATTAATCATAGATGAAGGGAAAAAAAATAACGAAAGCTAGAAGAAAAAAACGATGCAGAGGCCAGGCACTATAATTCCCAGTTGTAGCCAAGGAAGATAGAGATCTGGAGCCACAGCCAGTAGGAGATAAGCCGCAAAGCTTCGATGCTAGCGTTGAGGCGTAGTCGAGCGAAAAGATTTTATTTTTATTTTTATTTTTATTTTATTAATTTGTTGGACTTTTTAAAGGCCATTCCGTCCCTAATTCATGGAAGACTTGAAAAGACTACAAGTACAACCCTAAAGACCACTTTGAAGGGGGATTTTCAACAGCAAAAAATTAATAGACACGAGATCAATCAAGACAAAAAGGAAGGCAATCATGAGAAGAAGAATTCAAACGCCAAACCAGTTTTTATTTCTTTTCTCTTCCATGTTTTGGGTATTGAATTTGATTATGTGTATTGCATTAATCATATACTAATTTCTAATCTAGGGTTTGATGAGCCATAACTTGATACATGTTTGGATTTTAATATAAGTATTTCTTTCAGTTTTTCCATGAATTTATTTGTATTAATTATTGCACATTGCTTTCAATTACCTGATTAATAATTGAATGATTTGATAATTTAAATTTCGAAAGTTGAGAGTGGAAAATTTATGTGCGATCTAAAAACAGCACAACCTAAATTTTATAAGTTTCGAGAGAAAGTATGAAATCTTTGAAATATGTTTCATTTAAGAACCATGAACATGAATATTTCTAGATTTTAATTTTGAATAGAGATATTGGAATTAAAATATAGAGAAAAGTCCTATTCGGCACTTGAGAGAGAGAATATAATTAATTTAGGGTTCTTACTTATAAACTTAGGAAAATTGATAGAAGTAGTTATATAATTTGAGAAATGCTATTGATAGTGCGGTGAAATCATTTTCTTGATCTTCTCACGTTGACAACTCTCTCGTATAACTTGCATCAATTTAGTTAAATTTGTCACAATATTCTTCATTAGATTAGTTTAAAACCATTGATCTTGTAATTACATTTTCTAGATAAAATAAGAGTTATCTAATTGTAGTACGTAGTATAAAATTGATATTCAATTCCGGAGGATTCTACATCCGTACTTGATTTTATATTATAGAACTTGACATTTTGCTATTTGTAGTATAATTTACATTGTACAAAATTAGTAACAATAAGTTTATAATTTAGCCCTCAAATTTTCCGGTTGTTGAATTTCACTTCAGAAACTTATGAATTTTCTTTTGAGTGCTCTCTTGATTCTTCTAATTGATCATGTACACTTCAAGTAATCTTCAATTTTCTCCAAATTAACCTCAGTTATAGTCATTATCCTTTTGTTTTTGTCTCTAGATTAACCTTTTTCGGATTTGTTTTTGTCTACTCTCCTGGTATAGGTAATTGTTGAGAGATCTTAAGGCCCTTTTAATTCTCTGCTTGAGTCCATTAGGCAGGGTCTGAGGCCATTGATGTTGGGCAACGCAATGGATTCTTCTTGGCTTAATGGGCCATTCAAGGACCCGTTACCGATATTGGGCCCTTGGCCTTTAAACAAGGTTTTTTATTATTTATATAATTGTTAGTTTTTTGTTTTGTTTTTAAATTCTTTAAATTAAAAATTCATGCCAATGACATCCAAGCATAAGTAAATTATTATTTTCTGAATAAGTTACTTTATTTCATAGTTTTCCATGAAAAAAATTACTTAATTTTAACTTTAATAATAAGAAAAATTATTTATTTCAAGCTCAGTCATTTAATTATAACTAAATAAACTCTATGCTTACTTAACTTATGGGGAAGAAAATTTGATTCATTTTTATAAAGGTCGTCGAATCGTTGTGAAAGTCTTTGTTAAGGTTCGAGCAATAATTAAGGATTATCAAATTAATATGTACTCGATCAACTTCTTCGTTTGATGAATCGAAATTACAAGGTAATCTTGCAAATATGAACAAATTACATACTATAGCATTATGGATTAGGGAAGATGATAAGGCTGCCGAATTTGATATTAAGTTTTTTATTATGTATAATCATTTGCGTATGCACATAAATATGAAGTTCCCTACATGTATAATCATTAAGAGTTGATTTGAACACGCGTGATATTATAGTTTGGTATAATATCCTAAAAACGGGGTACATTTGGTAAGTTGCACTGCGATGAGGATGATCGCATTAAGCAACTCCATAAATCACAATCATTATGATTACAATCCAATTGAGAATCAGTTTCGTAATGCGTGTTGGAAGAGGAAGACGATGTTTTTTGTTGATGTAATTGTAGACGTTGATCATCACCACCATCAATTGGATTGATGCAAAAACTCGTAAAACCAGCAGATAACTGCTTGCAGTTAGTCTCGCTTTCACCATTGAGGTGTGATGCCGCCATCCTGTCAAGTGTTGCCCAATCTTGGTTACCGATTACGGGTTGATTAAAGCTCGGGCTGCCGGAAGAGGAGTCCTCGGGGCTCTGGAGACTGGGGAGTTTGATGAATCTGTCTCGACTGCAGCTAGTGTTTACCGGCATGCCTAATTCCTCCTTGCATGTACTTCCCATGTACCGGAGAATTTGTTCCAATGTCCCTTCCTTTGATGAGTTCAACAAGTTTTGGTCAGATGAAGTACTATCGAGGTTTTTATACTGATTTTTCTTCTTAAATATTCGACAAATCACCCACCCCTCTGATTCCTTAACACAGCACACAGACGACAATTAGACAACCTTGAGTATAAAGTGGATCAATTAATCAAGACTAGTACTTACATTATCATCGGCTTCAAGTCTGTATTCATGCATGATCCAATCGGACTTTCGTCCATGTGGAGCTCGACCGTTGTAGAAAACAAGCGTCTTTCTCCTGCCTATCGGTCGAGAGTTACTATATATCACTTTGTCACGGCCCGTTGCTTTCCAAAATCCGGCAGCAGTTGCACGATTAGTACGCATACCAGTGGGGTACTTTTTATCCTTGTGACTGAAAAAATACCAATCACTCTGTGGAGTCGATCCAATTTTGCATTTCTCTGAAATTAAAATATAAAACTCAGTCGAAGAAATTAAGAATATGAATATCAAATCTTGTCTACCTTGAATGTCCCATGGTTCGAGTTTATTAAGATCAACATCTGGGATAACATCCAAATCAATCTTCTGAAGATCAGCTTTTTTTCTCAAATAGTATTGCAAAAGCTCCTCTTCTGTTGGATGAAATCTGAATCCGGGAGGGACTTGGGAATCTCCATTCACTGAGAAACTCATTTCAAATTTTTATCTCTAAGAAAATCTATTAAAGAAGGCGATATATATAACTCGTACTCATTTCAAAAAAAACTAACCGGTGTAGTTGGAGAGATTCGAGTCTCCAAGAGATGGAGCCAGCCACCCACCTGCAAGGATAGAGAAAGGCAATTTGTAAATGTGGGCTCCACAGATTGACTATCTCTGTCAATATAACTGTGACGCGAGACCTTAAAACATCGACAGTAAAAGCACCACTCAAACTAACAAGTACTCTCTCTATTCAAAGAATGCAACCACCGCAACGAAAATCAGATGATGGGGTCGGAGATAAGGAGCTTTCAATGAAAAAAAATATAGAAATGATGATGATAGAGAGAGGGTGGGGGCTGCTTTCTTGCTTGATATGTATGTTGTACAAGTACTTGTCCATTTGTAGATGGACTAAGAAGGAGATGTCTTCTTTTTCAAGAATTGTGCTACTGCTACATGAAAGTTTAACCTAAAGAACATTAATGAAGATCAACGTGTCAATAGGATTGTTTTAAAGAATTATTTAGAGAAACAATCTCAACAACTATAGGGTAATTTCCATCACGGTTCCAATATTTAGTAAATGTGGCCACTCGTATTTCTAACATATCATTTGTTGCATGCACCACTTCTCCTGCTAACATAAAAACATTTATTTGAAAGTTAAATAGTCATATAATGTGCGGGATGGAGTGCACAAAGAGGGTGTGGTTCAATGAACATTAATGAATCTTACAATATTAAGATTTCTAAACAAAAGTTAAAAGTAATTTTTAGATTGCTTTGGATGAGTATATATATTGTTAAGGGAATAAGTCCCACATCGGTTAAATATAGAAATATTTACCAATTTAAATAGATTTTGGGTCACTCCTTTTAATAAAGTTGATCTTATTAAGATAGATCATAAATCTTAACATGGTATCAGAGTTCAGTAAATTTCAACGAGCTATTCGATCCGATTAAGTCTCAAAAATGAGCACATTGATTTCAAGATTTGTCTGCTTAAAAAGAGCCACTATCTTGCGGGGACATGTTAAGGAAATAAATCTCACATCGGTTAAATACCGAAATATTGACCAAATTAAATAGATCTTGGATCACTCCTCTTAATAACGTTGATCTTATTAAGATGGACCCCAAATCTTAACATATATAGTGGCCATCTAACTTTTAATAAACATGAATGCAACAAAAAGTAAATTGTGATCATATATAGGCGCCTTTCAATAGAATAATACTTGTTTATCGTCATTATTATTAGTTAAAATTATATTTGTTAATTGGTGATTTGGGTTATGTTGGGACTTGTACAAATTCCAATTTGTTTATGAAATCACTTTTATCTCTAAAATCATAATTAAGCAGTATCTCAGTTATAGAACTTTTTAGAAGTGTTCATTAGCTATTAGGTGATGCATAATTAATTTAAATTAATTTCTTTTCATATAATCATTGTTTTGCTTTTAATCGACAAAGCAACCCCTTCATATTTTCACACTTTTTAACAACCAATCTAATTAAATTTCGAAAAATGTTTTGTACTATAGGCATTTTGGCATTGGAAATATGCTATGCCATAAATGAGATGAAAATCAAGGAAAAACCGTTCACGTCAAGTATTTGATGATTAAGGTGAATTTTCCATTCATAATACAATTATGCGATGAGGAAGGGGACCGCACAAAGTTACAAACACTTTGGACACTCGATCGAATTAGGTAAAAATTCTTTTTATAATAAATACATTATCTTTGAAAAAATTACATTGTAAAATTATCTTAGTCTACTACTTTAATCAAAATTCAAAATTGAAAATGTAGTGAGCCACTTTATTGTACTGTAGGAATGTCAAAATGAATAATTATTCCAGCGTACAAGGAATAATTCACAAAATCCATACAATGCAACACCACAACTCGGTATTTGTATGGTGCATTTTCTGTCACATTTGGATCCAAAATTAATGAAAAATCGTCAAGTGTTGATCTATGAAAATTTTGTCAAATTTTTCCTGTACATGTAGTATAACTGCAATGAATAGATCTAGCCTTATATAATCAGACTCTCGCAAGGTTTAACTGTCTAAAAATAATGGAAATATCACCAGAAAATAAGTAATTCATTTTTACATTAACAAATAATGATGAGCCAAGAATTCATTGAAAAAGAAGAGGATCTTCATTACACTCCAAGAACACTATAAATTATATCTCAATCATTAATCACATTCAGAACAGAAAAGATTCCAAGCGCAAATGTTGAAGTCAAGGAAAAGGATTCGAATTCAAGAAGTGATTTTGGTATGTGAAATTTTAATTACAGTAACTCAAATGAAATTGTAGTGCTTTTAATTTTGTACGTTTGTTTTTAACGTACTTTTTATTCTGATTTATTAAATATTTTTTGTTGCTCTATTTATAGGTTTGGAACTTTTCTTCTGAATATTATCAGCAAACTAAGCTGGTATTTGATGTTTCTATGGAGGGTATTACTTTTAGCCCACTCTAAAAGGTTCTTCGAGGTCTGCCCCTAGAAGCACACAAATGAAAAATGGAAGCTTTTTCTCCATTTTGCATTGAAGATACTACATGAGCATTGCATTCCCAGTCACTTCACAGATTTTCAGTTATGCACGTTTGGTGCTTGGAATGTAGGAGAAATTGTTACCGTAAACTTTTATATTGGATCATCAAGAATATATAAAATAATGCGGAAGCGTACCTCAATCACACATTGTTAATGCAATAGTTGAATCTTACGATTAGTCTTGCAGCCCTTAATTATCTCTGGTGATGGGAGACAAAATAGAATAACGATGCACGTGTGATTTGGGGGTCATAATCGTATTTATATAATGATGCTTCTTAACCTAATTCGGCTCATCGTAGAATTAGCAAGACCCGGTCTCTACACATAAAAGACCCACACTTTAATTGGATACATTAAAGCCTAAATTACCGAAGTCTCATTAGATTACTTTTAAATGGGCTTAACCGAATTTGATAACCATTAATTTGATACACAATAATTTTCATATATAAATCCACACGATCGTTAAAATTCCTTACAATCTCCCACTTAAGCTATATGTGTCACCTTATAATTGTGTATTAAACATAACCTTATAAGTACTCAGAATTTTGCTATCATTACCGAATGCATCTCCAGATAATTAGGTCCATCAATCATATCAACATAGGATCAAAGCAGCTTTTGCTACTTTCATCGTAACTAAATCCATTAATGGTCACATATGATATAACTGAATGACATAGATCAAGCATGGATGTATAGCATGAAAATTACATGTGATGTGATCTTTTACATGCCTATTTTCAAGTGGTCCACCTTAATACCTTAGTGAGATCATTTTCTAGCAAGTTCAGAGATAGTAAACTAAAAACTTTATAACTGAAAATAATTTTAATCATAAATCATATGCAAAATAATAGTACATGAATCCACAAAAAATAAAAAAAAAATAAAAAAAAAAGAAAAACTTCTACTGAAACTAGATATCTTCAAAAGACATTACACCCATATCAGCAGTATGCTCATGAAAGACCTTGGGTATCAATCTTTTATGGTCCACTGTGAACTCTTTCTTTAACAGCCAGGAACTTGATATCTATATGTTTCGATTTTGTCGAGCTCTTGTTGTAATTGGAATACATCACTACTAATTTATTATCATACAATATCTTGAGCGATCTTTCTATACTGTCCACAATGCATAGCCCAGTCAAAATCTCGCAGCCATATTCCATAATGTGATGCCTCATAACACGCTATAAACTCTACTGCCATGGTGGAAGTGGCTATGAGTGTCTACTTTGCACTCTTCCAGAAAAATAGCACATCCAGCAAGCAAGTAAATACGGTCTAAAGTGGATCTCTTACTATCTTGGTATTTTGCAAAATCGGAATCAGAATAACTAACGACTTCCAACTGATCCAATCTCCTGTATGTAAGCATGTGGTCTTTTGTTCTCTGCAAATACTGTATAACCCATTTGACTGCTTTCCAATGATCCATTCCCAGTTACTTAAATATCTTCCTAACATCCTAACAATGTACATTATATCTGGACGAGTACAAACCTGATCATATTTTAGACTCCGTGTAGCTGAAGAATAAGGAATCTTCTGCATTTCTTTAATTTTCAAGTAATTTTTTGAGTACTAACTTAAATTGAACTTGTCTCATTTAGCCACAGGGGTTCCACTTGGTTTACAATCTTGCATATCATATCTTTTAAGTACCTTTTCGCTATAGATCTTTTGTGATAATCCAAGAATACCTCGAAAACGATCTTGGTGTATCTTAATTCCTAATACAAAAGAGGCATTACCAAGATCTTTCATCTCAAAATTTGCTAGAAATCTCTTGGTTTTGTACAATAAGCCTATATTGTTGTTGGCAAGCAATATGTCATCAACATATGAAATCAGCAAAATATACTTGCTCTCACTGAACTTGTGGTATATACAATCATCGACCAAATTCATCTCAAAATCAAATGAGATGATCAATTGATGAAACTTGTAATACCATTGACGAGATGCCTGTTTGAGTCCATAAATGAATTTCTTCAGTTTATAAACCATTTGCTTTGCATCATCTGATACGAAGTTTTTTGGTTGTACCATATAAATTGTTTCATCAATGTCACCATTGAGAGATGCCGTCTTAACATTCATCTGATATAACTCAAGATCAAAATGCCCTACCAATTTCATTATAATCTTGAAAGAGCCTTTCGAAGAAACTGGAGAGAAAATCTCTTTATAATCGATGCTTCTTGCTGTATAAATCTCTTTGCGACAAGACATGCCTTATACCTCTCTACATCACCCTTTGAATCTCTATTGATCTTAAATATCCATTTGCCAATGAGTTTCGTATCTTCAGGCAATGGAACGAGGTCTCACACGTCATTGTCCTTCATGGACTTTATCTCTTCATTCATGGCATCGAGGCATTTTTGAGAGTTAGAACTTTCCACGGCTTGAAAGAAGTTGATCGGATCATCTTCCTCCATTTCAAAGTCAACTTCATGTTCTTGGTAAAATACGATATACTCATTCGAAATCGAACTTCTCGTCTCTAATGGATCTTTTTAATGGCAATGGTTCTTGAGATTATAGAGTTTGTTCTTCTGGAATAATTTGTTGACCATGAGAGGGATATACAACATTGTATTGATCCAAAGTTGCTTCTTGAATAATGTCAAGGGATAGAAAACTGATTATTGTCAATAGTAATTTGAGGAATTTCAACATATTTCTCTTTAAAGATAATTCTCCCTCCGCAAAAGCAACATCATCAAAGAACCGAACATTTTCTGCCTCGAAAATTGCCTTGACTGTGGGATCATAAAATTTGTAACCCCTAGACCTTTTAGAATATCCAATAAAGTAGCAATTGATGATCATTGCGTCCAGTTTCTTTTCATTTGGCTCATAGGGCCTTGCCTCAATTGGACATCCTCAAATGTGTACATGCTTCAAACTAGGCCTTTTTCCCATCTAAAGTTCATAAGGGATTTTATCAATAGCCTTAGTTGGAACTCTATTGAGTATATACGCTGCGGTCTTCAATGCTCCACCCTAAAGAGATTCTGGTGAGGTTGAATGACTAATCTTACTCCTCATCATATCCTTAAGCGTTCTATTTTGTCTCTCAGCAACACCATTCATAGTGGGCGAATCCGACATAGTGTACTGCAGGAGGATACCGCATTCTTCTATGAATTTAGCAAATGGCCTTGGACGTTGTTCAGTTGAACCGTCATATCTATCATAGTATTCAACCCTACGGTTAGATTTGACACTTTTAATCTTTACTCAAATTAGCTCTCAACTTCAGCTTTATAGTTTTTGAATACATCCAGAGACTGTGATTTTTCATGAATGAGATATATATAGCCATATCTTCGAAGTCGTCTACGAATGTTATAAAATATTATTGACCATTCCAAGAACCTGTACAAAATGGTCCACAAATGTCCGCATGTATAAGTTCTAAGATGTTTGAAGTCCTGTTGGCTTGAAACCTCATTTTATTTGTTTGTCTTCCCTTTATACATTTGACACACAAATCGTAATTTGTAAAGTCAAGAAGGTTGAGAATCCCGTCAGACACAAGTCTCTCAATTCTTCTCTTAGAGATGTGACCTAATCTATTGTGCTACAAAGAGACAGAATTCTCACCCATTAATTTTCGCTTTATACCTCGAGTACTTTTATGCAAGGTTTCATTAAATGAAGCAATTGTATCAATTGAATAAAGATTATCGTAACATGATAAAGAACCGAAACCAACCAATTTTAAATCATAAAACAAACGAAATTTTTCATTCCCAAATGAATAAGAATAACCAAATTTGTCCAAAACAGAAGTATAAATCAAATTACATCTGAAAGACGACACGATAAATGTCTCATCAAGATTCAAATAAAACCCAATCTTTAACAATAATCTAAATTTTCCTATCGTCTCTACTTCCACTGACATAACGTATCTTTTACCATCACTTGATTTTCGACAGCTTAGGCAACCTTGCATAGACACACTGATATGAGTTGTTGTTCTAAAATCTATCCACCATGTATGTCGAGGTACTGAAGTTAAATTAACCTTAGAACAAACTAAATGAAGAAGATTACCTTTCTTTACACACCATACATGGTAATTGGTGCAGTTCTTCTTCTTATTACCTGCAGCTCCACAAAAGAAACAATCACCTTCAGTTGGTTCCTTATACTATTTCTTTTGTGATGCTGTACTTGTGGCATTCTTATTATTTTTCCTTTTTTGTTACTTTTGTCCTTGGAGGTGGTGGTTAAATGAGCACTTTATGTCTTCTCATGTTCCAATCTTTTCTCTTCTTGGACACAGTGTGAGATGAGCTCATTGAGAAATCATGAGTCTTTTTGACAATTGTAGCTTACTTTGAATTGACTGAAATGTGCCGAAAGGAATATCAGAACTAAATGCACTAACAAGTTTTCAGATAAATCCAACTTGAGTGCCTTTATTTTTGAAGCAATGTGAGATATTTCCACAATGTACTCTTGAATGTTTCATTTCTCTTTATAGCTCATTGAGGTGATGTTTGCCAAAAGTGTACTTGTTTCAACCTTTTCATTCTTGGCAAACCTCTTCTCAAGATCCTTAAGGAAACCCTTAGTCGTAGTCACCTTGTCGGACATAGTGCCCCAGAATGTTTTTGGAATAGCATGCTTCTTGACCATCAAACTTATGCGGTTCGATTATTCCTATTTTTCCATCTCCCTCTTATCATCAGAGGTACTCTTATTAATAAGTGCAGCAGGTTGATCGACCCGTAAAGTAAGCTCCAGGTCCATGATTCCGAAAATAATCATCACATTCTCTTGCCACGCCCTGAAGTTTGTACCATTAAGCACTGGAATTGAATTAATGCTAGCAAAGATATTAACAACAGAACCTAAAACTGAATTAGAGAACAATTATTACAAATAGCTCACATGAATATCTTTAATACGCAAATAATAATAATCTCAAATAGTGGTGGGCCCACCACAAGAAACCTAACACAACATCAATATCTAGTTTTTGGATAGAAATATTGACCCGTAAATGGTATTCTTGGCATAGAGATCAAACATTGACAATAAAACAACATGTCAATCAATAAACCTTTCTTTGGTCCAATTTATTGATCACACATTAAACCAAATAATCCCCATATGTTTATCACCATAGGTGCACGTACAATTCGACTAAATATTGACATTCTTTTGGACCGATCAATATTCACATGAATAACACACACACAAACACCTTCTAATATTCTAAATTAATTAATTTTCATAAGAGAGATTACTTTGGCAACATGTTACTTCAATTAATTCACTTTTAAATATTATATCTCTTAAAAGAGTTCTTAGTACCAAAATTTGAGAAAGAAACCACCAACTTTGCTTATTTTATTAAGTTTTAAACTTTAAGGGACTTAGGGTTAAATATTCCAAAACTTTAGGGGGGTAAAATTACTTAATTAATTGCAAACTTTAGGGGACAAAATTAATAAATTTGAAACTTTAGGGGCCAAAAATTAGCCAATTCAAAACTTTTGGGGCCAATTAGAACAATTAAAACTTTGGGGGCCAATTTGAATTAATTATTAAACATTGAGGGCTTTAATTATAAAATTCATAACTTTAATGGTCCAAATTAATTAATTTTTAAATCTTAGGGACTGAATTATAAACCCAAAACTTAGGGGCCCAATTTGAATGTACTTTAAATGTTAAGGACTTGAACCTTAAATTTATAACTCTAACCCTAATTGCAAGCAAAGGCCACAAGTTAATAATTTACATGAGGCCCTCGTACCCCAAATCTCATTGAAACCCTAAAACCCCAGAGATTTTTTTCTACTTCTCTTCTCCAGCATTCGCCGCCCAGAGTAGTGCTGGGGCCCTTTGCAGCGACGCCCAACGTCCCTGCATTTCCAGCAGCGAGCTGCTGGACGCAAAGTGCTATGGCCAGAAAAGAAAAAAGTTCTCTTCTTTTTTTCTTTTAACTTCATAAAATCTGTAATTTTTTCAAAAATCCATAATCTGAAAATTTCTTAAACTTCAATCCAAATAGTGAAAGACAATAACGAAAATACATACTACAAAAGTTTTCAATTTCAACAAAATATAGATCCAAAATTGTCAAATTTAAAAACTCTAAAAATATTGCAATAACCAAATAAATTATTCAATTCTCAATGATTCAACATGAAAATGCTGCGATACCACTTATAGGAGAA